TACTCAAGATAAGTGTTATGCAACAATACCTCACTGCATGAACTCAGGCTTTGGTTTTTACACAGGAAGCCCAAGTCTGAGTCAGGCACCAAAATCTCGCCAACTGGGCTTAAACCACTCATAAACATGCTGCACAACAAACTACACTATTTCCCACCTGTACACTTGTCTGAATGATCGACATCCTATGACTGAAACTCATAATACAACGATTGAACTCAAACATTCTTAAGATCCTGAACAATTTGGTTTGTGACCCCTCTCAAAAAAGCAGTTTCTTGTGCTTTTGTCCCCTCGTCCCTGCTCTCAGCTTTAAACCTCCTACATTGTTAAATTTTAGTAGGTTCAAGGTGCAATATTTCACAACAATGTAATTTTTTTCATATCTACCTCATTTATAATCTCATGATTACACAGATTCCTCAGATTTATTTTACGACCATATTGAGGAGGCCTGAGCCTTAGGATGGAAACTGGACAAACTAGCTCCACCTACCACAGTAAAATCCTGATGCTTCGGAATTGAAGTCATTTGTTATTTATATAATAACATATCAGTCACAGGTGGCATTCTTCTGCAGCATGATAACTTTCTGATACTTAAAATAGACTTGATTCTAGTTTACTTCATGGATCCATTTTTTATCCTTTTGAGGGTCACGGGTGAGCTGGAGCCAGTCCCAGCTGACATTAGGTAAGAGGTGGTGTACACCCTGGTCAGACAGCCAGCGTATCACAGGGCAAACATACAGAGACAAACAACCTCTCACGGTCACATTCACACCTACAGACAATTTTACATTATAGAGCTTTACAGAATATTTTTAAAGGCTTAATTCTTTTAACTTAGTATAAGATTTGTTAAATCATAATCATAAATTGTGCTTATAGATATGCTTAAAATTATGCTGGGACTGCAGATGAAAATAGTCTAAGAGACTAACTGCTACATTTCTTTGAACCATTATGCTTATATTATTGAAAGTACACTGTCCCTTTTAAATAAAAGTTTTAAAAAAAGGCAGGCATCTTTGACTCATGGATCCTGTTTTGAACATGTCACAATAAGGTGTCTGTCCAGAGGCGGCTTTTCTCATGACAATAGTTGCTACAGGCAGTTATCCCCCACCACAGGTTTATACAGTATACAGACGTAAACATGGGAGGACCTTCTGGCAGACAGTTCATGCACTGGATTAAGATTTTAAATGTTTTTTAAATAATGTTTGCACATGTCGGTTTGTGTTGAACGTGTTTCTCTATCATTACGTCTGCTAGAATCAGTGTCAGTGAATGAAAACCTTTCCTGGTTTTTTACTTGATGACGCCATTGTCTTCAGCAGCACTGACCACTGTGGGAAGGAAAATTTCACTGAGGTTTGACAACATGAGAGAGAAAAAAACACTCAAACCAGTGACCATCTACTGCAGCAGCCTCCCCCTCTCTCGCCCTCTTTCTCCTGATTGAGTGTGCGTATGCGGTTCCCTGTGGGGTTAACCGTTTTGGACCACAGCATGTGGGACAGATCAGGCTCCACCTTTGATTAGCCACTGTAGTCGCAGGCTTGGGACACTGACGCATTACCCACAGCTCTGAGTGTCACTGCGGTCACATTAGGTTGAGCTGTGGCTCTAAAAACTTCAGAGGGAATCAGAAAGACAGCGTGTAAGGTCGGCAGAGAGTAGCAGGAATGTTCAGGAGGGAAAAAAGTGCCATCAATCAACATCCTGCTGTAATATAGAGGCTGTCGGGTCGAACCATAGACTGGGTCAAACCAGCCTTTCCTCCACTGGCTTCTTTTTCCACTTAGTGTTAATAGAGATAAAACGATATTTACATGTTTCTAAAAGTTCTTCCAATAAACAGTGATTTCTAAACTGATAGATGCCACCACTGGAGTTTACCATGTGGTGCTTAGGGCAGTTGAAGATGCTTCTTCATTTGTCATTCACTGAAAAAAAAATATTTCAGCAAGATAATCAAACTTAGATTAACATCTTTGCTCTTATTTTCTAGGGGAAGTCCACCGTCAAAGGTTTTCCTGTCATGTGCACCACCTTCAGTTAATGCACTTTAATGTTGTATGTTTTCCCTATTAACATACAATTGATTTATTGATGAACAATTCTAGCAATTTATCTGTAAATAAGCTCCATCATTGATTAAAGAATTATAAATACACACAACAGAGCTGTACTGGCTGACATGCTCCTTAACATTGGCTGTGTAGTTGGGTGGTTAGGTTTTTGCCCCTGTACGATTGTTGGTTGGGTGGTTTGTTAGCAAGATTATGCAAAAACTACTGGATGGATTACAACAAAACTTAATTTTGGTGCAGAACTGGATCAGGGGGCAGGTCCTAGATCTTTATTTCAATTTCTTTAACATAGCAAGATGTGGAATTTTTTTTTAACATTTTCCTTAATGTCTCTGAGAATAATTCAGGGATCTTGATTAATAACATGGAACTGATATATATTGATGTGTGCAGATCAAAAAAATTAATAAATCCAAATCTAGCACATTTAAATTTGGTTTCATAAGGAGACTGTTGGGCCTTGGTTTGAGGTATCCAGTTTATTTATTGTCAAGCCCAGAGCAGTGTCTTGCTGCCTGAAATAAATTCACAAGCACCAAATGTGCATTAATCCAAAACTGAAAATAGTCCACAACAAATGCACTATTTATTACTATTTAAATAATGTTAAAAGCAAATACAGTACTAGCACTTGTAGTGTGTTAGGAAATCATTTTGAAATAAAAGCACACATTCATAACTGTTTTTAGATTTATGTCTTCAGCAGAAACAAATGTGCTTCGAGCCGACAGCCGCAGACAGAAGTCGGAAAGTACTGAGAGCGAGAGAGAGACTAACACATTGTTGATTCTTCGTCTCGTCTTTTTATGTAACTTGTTGAAAATAAAAAAACAGAGAACGGAGAGTTCTTTTCTTTTATATAATGATTGATTTGATACTGATTAGCAAATAGATACGCTGAATTGTTCTCCCTGACCTTTACAATTTTAGACACTGAAATTTGTCGCACTTCCATTTAGGCTAAGGGTCGAGTTAGGTGTAATAAACACTGGCTGTGCCACAGAGCCGTGGTTTGCTCGCTCTTCGCCACTTCGTTGCGGGCTTGTAATTTTCAGCAGCGGGGTACACCCAGAACACCGTTTTATCAGCTGTTATATGCCCAGTGCAGAATTCTTATCACTGCTGTTTGTTTTTGCCCCATGGAGATAGGACATTTGACTATTTTTGTTCATGTGCACACATATGATTGCTAAATAATTTTCAGAGCCCGTCCACCGCACAGAACTTGTATTCATAAATTCATACAGCCTCCTTGTTTTTTCTTTTTTTTGTGGTGTCTCTAATCACAGTGCCTTCTTTGTGTGTCGGATAGGACAAATTTATAAGGGTGTTTTGCAGCGCTCCCATTTTACTCCTCTTTGTGTGTCTTTCTGTCCCCTGCAGCTCCCTTCCACCACCACCCCCCACCCCCCACCCCCTCAACTTTGTCTCATTTATTAAGCCGTGTTCTGCCGATGTGCGTCAGAGCTGGCCAGGAGTCTCGTGAGGCGTTGTGGAAGGCGTCCTGAAGAGCTGTGTCTCGAGTCTGGACAGCATCATACCACAGCCCCCCCTAGCTTACCCCCACCTCTGCTTATTTGCCTGCAACCACCTCCACCACCCCCCATCACACACACACACACACACACTGAGCAGATGATCCATCCTAAGTGAAGATCAAATGATTTGTTCTGGGGGTAATAAATCAAAGGTCATAGGTAGCTGCTCAAGTCTGTTTACAAGAGTCACTTTGATTCTACAATTAAATTAAACTCAAGCCAGTAGGAGTTCTTCTGAGGATGCAGGTTTTAAACACTTTATACTGACATGCAACACATTACCTGCAGCTGGATTGGAGGCTTTCATCTCCTGCATCTGGATTTATTTTGTCATCTGGCACAACATTTTGTTGTCCACAAGTATCTGTAGCTGCTCACTACCCCGATATCATACAGGATTTCAGACTAGATGCCCCACTTAGTAATATTGTCATTCTGTGTGTGTGCGTGTGTGAGACGCCAGAACACATGCCTTCCAGCTGCATGTCCTCCTGTGATTCATACTTGAAGGGAGTCTACGCAGATGCTGCTGATAACCAAACGTTTCGGGAAAGCGGTAAAACGATCAGGGCTGTCTGAATACAACAATCCTCTTTTCTACAATTATCTGCTAACAGCTACATTTCCTATCTACAACACCATCAAATGTAAATACAGGAGATTTGTTTTTCCTTTTACTGGGATTTTTTGAAATTTTGGTTGCCTTGTATGTAAGCGCTGGGCTGCACAGTCCGATGATGAGATTACATCTCACGGCTGAATTTAAACAGCTACAAGTCTTTGTTTTAAGAAACCCACTCCATTTGAGAGAGTGGCCTAAACATGATGGTTTCCCAGCGCATCATCACGGCCTTTCAGACGCCAGCGGGTATATTAAAAACAACTTTCCCTCAAAGATGGTCTGGCAAATTGCTTTTTTCCCTGACAACAAAGACAGTAAACAGCAGCACTTAGCGAGCTCTCAAGAACCTAATTGCCTATTAAGCACAATCGAGTCCTCCTTTATCCTGCTGCCTCTGTTGGGGGCTCCTATCCCTGGAGATGAAGCTTTACAGTAAACATAAGTGAGTTAGCCCGGCTATCTGAGAGCTTTGGGCGGAAAATAGGCGCTCCTGCCACGCTCACCTCACAGTAAAAGTGAATGAGAGATGACCTTCGGCCGTTTCTAGCCAGTGGATTTGTTTGGGCTGGCTGTCATGAACAGTGTGAGCCTGAATGAGACGTTATTTCCATCCTGTTGTAACTTAAATATCATTAATTATCATCTCCCAGTGTCTTTTTGTGTTTTTACACTTATGCTTCGTCGTGGGTAAAGTTGTGCAGTGCATGAAAGTAAAATACATTCTGTTTCTGTGCTCCTCAGGCTTGACAGATGAGAAAGTGAAGGCCTACCTTTCGCTGCACCCGCAGATGCTGGACGACTTTGTGTTGGAGAGTGTGAGTGCAGAGACGTTGGACAGATGGCTGAAGAAGAAGACCAGCAGCAGGCCTGCAGGTATACCCACTCCCACTCCCACACACAAACAGGGACAAACATGGAAACACACATATGCTGCAGCTCTCTGGATCACTGTGACATAATGATTGGATCAGCGGATTTCAGCATATTGACGCACAGTTGAGATTTCTGTAATATTTTGCTTTGGTTAAATGTTTGTACTTTTTAGCTCACATAATCCCATACCAGGTTCCGAACAGTCGACCACAAGTACAGGCTGCCATGAATATCTGCAGCCACGTCAGTCGTTTGCTTTTATTGCGCTGAAAAACTAAAACCTCCCCTCCAAGAGATCCAAAGGATAACCGGAGCCGAGGCAGGCCGTGCCTCTGCGGGTTCCATTTATTATCCCGGCCATTTGCACTACAAATCACTCATCTTCACGTGTTTCCTTTAATCGTCAGTGTGTGTGATAGACAGACGAGAGGGAGCGGGCTTGTCGGGTGTTTACGGGTCGTTAGATGTGTTTGAGCGGAGCCGAGTTGAGTCTGTGCCGTGCACTGCGCACACAGCGGACTGTTTCTCAGACCAACCGCATCCATCAAGGGCCCACAGTGCTGGCACTCTGCCCAGTCGAGCTGCTGACGTCAGAGGCGACCTCCAGAGACATGCAGCCGGCTGAAGGGGGCCCAGGGGAGGGGTGGGGATGGTGGCGGCGGCGGTGAGGGGTTGTGCTGGCTCAGGGTGTGGGTGTGTTGAAGTGCAGGGGGAAGCTGGCGTAGGATGGATTTGTCACATTTTGGAGCTGCTTTCCACATGAGGTTTACAGACAGTGGTGTTTATTGCTGCTATGAGACGCTGGTTTCTAATGTCAGATCCTGCATGTGAAACTGTTTCCAGTATGCAGTATGCAGTGTGTGTGTGTGTGTGTGTGTGTGTGTGTGTGTGTGTGTGTGTTTTGGATGAAACGTCAAAAAAGAAGCCTAAATAATTTTTCTGGTGCCAAGTAGTTCAGGTCAGAGCAGATGAATCCTGTGCAAAGCAGAACACAGATTTATAAAAACTGAGCACAAAGATTTTAGTCAGATGTGTTTAAGAGCTTTTATTTGATCACTCTTCAGTTATCATATGATTCATGAAACTAAATTCACCCGTTGCAAAGGAAATGCATTTTTCCCATGATGTCCAAAGGCTGGATAATATAAAGAACCACTTTGTTTATTAGAAATTAAATGTCCATTACATGACTGCTGGCTGTTTTTTTTTCGAGTATGGTATAAATATGGACTTGCAGGAAACTCACTTGAGTCTGGAGCCACAGATCACAGTGCACGGAGACAAAGTTGCTGCTGCATCACTGTGCTGGTGTAACAAAGCTTTGACAAAAAAAATAAACAGAAGCAGAAATGACGTTCATCGTGATGCATCGCATTATCGAAGGCTACATTATTGAAGTTTCAGATTTCAGTCGATTCTCATGTTGTTTAGAAAAGCACACTAATGCTAACAGTGTGACTGCCTGGAAAATAGACAAGATGGTCCCAAGTGCTCTGTTTTTGAAAGTGGTCAAACAGTTAACAAGCTCCTGGACAAATGGTTGCAGGCATCATTGTGTTAGATAAGGAAACACAGTGAAGGACTAGTGTTACAAAACAGCGTTTTGTGTTTGGAACAATAAGCTATATTGTTAAGCTAGTTAACTTTTTTTAATGTGGTGATAGAGAGAATATCGGAACAGCCAGAAGTTTATACTGTATTAAAATGAGCAGTTGCTAACAGTGTTTGTCCACCTGCATGCCTTCAGCTCTGGTCATGTGTTGTGTGTGTTGAAAATACTAAAGTAAATGCTGCTCGAGTGAAAAGTCTCTTTACACACACACACAGGCTGTGATGTATCTTCGAAGTGCAGGTTCGTGCAGGTTTTTGTGTCTTGCCAACATAAGTGCAGGTTACACGTCTCGGAGAGTTCGACTGCATTTTTCCCAAAAATTGTCTTTTGTGGTTCAAAAAATTTAATTGCTTGAGGGGATTGAGTCAGAATGAAGAGGATGATTCTAAAATCAACCAAAATCTTTGCATTAGCTTTCTGGCTAGAGACTACATGAATAACATATCTGAATATTTAATGCAACTGCTGGATGTCGAGTTCCATTGTGGGAGAGTGGCCAAGTATTTATTTATTTTATTTATTTTTTTCTTGTACTGTTTGTGTGTTTGCTGGTTTATGGACGATTAACCAATGCCGTTATCCATTTAGATCAGCCAGCAGCCACAAATGGATTTTTAGAATTAACCAGATTAAAAAGTAAAATCACCAACAAGTAATTTAAAGCAAAAAACATTAAACTTAGCCTGCTCTTACAATTTATTCAACAGAGATGTCATAAAACAGGCTTTTCACAAGCACACCATGTATTAACAGTGTTGTATGATGATGGTTTAGCAATTTATATTTTTATATAAAATATAAAATATATTTTTTTTTCAACAACCAATCACACCCTTAAAAAAGATGTATCTAACATGGAACTAGTGTTGACCACACTCCCGCTCTAAGGTTAAAGTTTCTGTCCTCAATGAGAGTTGCTCTCAGAGCGAAGATGACTTGCTTGAATGTTTTGCAACAATAGATACGTATTTCACCTTGCAGGGTAAAATATTAAAACCAAAAGATGGTCCAAGATCACAAACCTCTGCCAGGGCCAATGCCCTATTTTGCCATGTTAAAGAGAGTGAAAAAAAAATCCTTGATCTGCTTGTTTATCTGGACCAGCTCCAACAAACAGACAGAGTCATAACCCTCTTAGTGGAGGTCATAACTTAATACAGTATCGATCAATATTCAGCCACTAGCTCCACAGTTAATTTCTTGAGCTGTGTGAGCGGCGACCAGACTCGGAGTGAAATCATCAGTAATCAGCCTGACAGCTCTCTCATTATACCTCATGTCTCTCGGGCTTGATCTTTACATTACATCAGTAATATCTCTTTGAGTCCACTTCCTCTGTTAGACCACTGTGAGCAGACACTTGGGCACCACTCTGAAGCCTCTCAGTGGCTGTTTCCGCTCATGTGACAAGCACCGTCTAATTTCTGGGTCATCACGCAGCTGAATGGTCACTGTGTTGGGAAGACTTGACTTGTAGATTTATTTACCACAATTTCTCTGCTGCTTTAATGCAGCATATGAGAGCAGCAGCAGAAGCAGCAGCAGCAGGTCCTGTCATCATGTGATCATCACTAAGATACCCACTGCTTCCTGGAAGCTGTCCCTGCAGCCAGTGCCGTTCTCACTTATCATATGATGGACAACATTGGATTACATAACACAGTTTGTCTGTAAACACACAAGTGTGTGTGAGGATTTGTTTTTGCAAAGCAGCCTCTAATTTTAGAGAAAGCCAACATACTTGCACACTTGATACTGCTCTGTGGCAACATGTCTTCTCATCCTAACTGAATTACACTTTTGTGCCGTTACATTTACATATCGAGTTTCTGCTTTAAAGTGAGAGGGTGGTTTGTTGCAGCAGTGAGCTAAAGAGCAGAGTACACATGGATCATTTGACCATTGCACCTCTCTTGACCACAGTCGCCGGCAATGTTTACACCACACGCTGCCATGGGGGGGTAATTGATGAATCTCAAACCTTCCGTTGCTCCCATGCAGACGACTCTCGCTATTGTATATGCTTCATGCAACACAGACACACACACACACACACACACACACACACACACACAGAGCAGTGTATATGTAGCAACCCTTATATTCTTGTTGAAAGATTAAATCATTTCCAAACTAGATCATTTAATTAATGAAACGCTAGAGAATAGTATACGTTTTCACAGCTTTAGTCTGGTCTCAAAGGTGAGAGGCTGCATACAGATTGCTCAATAAGTCAAGTTAATAAGTGATTAATCTATAGTCAAACGTTTCTGTTGACTACTCACTTCAGCACTTGACAAGTGAATGAGCAGAATCTGCAAATGTTCCTGATCAGAGCCTCATTCTCAAAGCTGATGATCTCTGACAGGTCAGGCTGCCACGTCTGGTTAAAAAAGGAGAACCTTGTGTTTAAGACGTGTGTTTGTGAGTCTCCAGTTTTCTCTCTGGAGGGCAAGAGCTGGGCCGAGCTGTGAAGCAGCTGATACTGTTTCTCAGACGTGTTTGTGTGGAAGTCACAAAGGAAACAAAGATGCGCTTGTGTGGCAGAAACTCATACCCCCCTCCACTGTGATAAGATAGCTGTCTCACCTGCAGGGCATTCCATCACGGGGAGGAGGAGGAGGAGGACCCATGTGCAGCGCTCAGTAGATTCTGCTTCAAATGCTTAAAATTTTAAATAAATTTGATTTGCTAGTGAAGTCTTAGATACAACCTTAAGTGACTGTATTTGGCAAACACAAAGTGGGTGTCCTTACATCTATGGCTCCAACAGATACCAAATTTTGGGGCTTTGAAACTTGACGAATTAACCTCTTGGGGGAACAGTCTATATTTTTCACTTCCTGTGTAGACAGCAGTTATCCAGGCCGTACAGTTTACTGTCCAAGTCAAACATTTGTGATGTGTAGCTGCTTTAGGTCCAGACAATATTTTGGATCATCTCCATTGACAGCTATCTCTATATGAATGCAGATCAAATAAAAAGCTGATGTAGCCAATGAGCATTTTGGTCTTTTGCTCTCCACACAGACTGTTTACCTGCAACCAAAGCCTGCACAAATGTGATTGGTCAAACTCGAAGATTCCAGCCTCTAAATCTTATTCGTCGCCTATAAATTCTACACATTCACACACAGAGTCTGATTAGATTAGTCATTAACTCATATTAATTAATGCTGATGCTGCATAATTAATTATTTTAAATGACTATTTCTTATTTCGTGGGTTATTGCATGTTTATTCATTCAGATACAGATTTTGACATTGAATATCACGGAAAGAGAAAAATCTCTGAAGTCTTGCTAAACCAAAAGTTTCTTCTAATAATTATAACTATAGTTAGTTTTAAATTTAAAAAAAAAAGGAAGTCTGGTTGATGTTGGAATCT